AATATACATTATGAATGTATGAATTAAGTGAGGTTTTGGTTTTTCTTTATTTATATTTACTTATTTACAGTGCTGGGAATTGAACCTAGGACCTCATGCATGTTAGGAAAGCACTCTACCACCGAGCTCTCTCTCTTTTTTTTCCTTTGGTTTTTCAAGACAGAATTTCTCTGTATAACAGCAGCTCTGGCTATCTTGGAACTCACTTTGTAGACCAGACTGACCTTGAACTCACAGAGATCCGCCTGCCTCCTGAGTGCTGGGAACAAAGGTGTGTAGCACCACCACCAGACTTTTCTGTCTTTTTTGAAAATTTAATTCGATTTGTATGTTATGGGTGTTTTGTTTTCATGTATGTCTGTATACCACATCTACGTAGTGTCTGAAAAGGTCAGTAAAGGGTACAAGTCCCCTGGAACTAGATGGTTGTGAGCTACCATGTGGGTGCTGGGAATCAAACCCTGGACCTCTGGAAGAGCAGCCAGCAATCTTAACCACTGAGCCATCTCTACAGCCCTGTGTTTCATCTCTTTAAGAAAAATTTAGTAGGTATGTGAAAATGTGTGTGTGTGCCTGCATGATGTGTGTGGAATTGTGCACTTGTGAAAGTCAGAAGAGAACTTTGCAGAGTTAGTTCTTTCCTCCCAGGGACTGAACTCATGTCAGGCTTTGTGGCAGGCGCCTTTACCCATTGAGCATCTCAATGGTCTTTGTTATGTCGACCAGACTGGCCTCCAATTCTCAATTTCCCTATGGCAGCCTCCCAAGTACTATGGTTACAGAATGTATCACCATACTTGACTCTAACTGTGAATTTTAATCTTTTTCTTTGTATTTTTTTTCTATCATGTATTTTGGCATGCATTAGTTGCAAAATCAGGGGAAAAGCTATATCCATTATCAGAGAGACAAATAAAAAGTCACGGATACATACTGTTTCAGATGATCTTCAGCAAGAGCATATCTTTCTCTGCGTCGTTTTTCTTCTTTTTCTTTCTCTTCTTTGAGAGCTTTTTCAACGTCGAGTTTCACTTGTTCCTCCCATTTTTTGTCTGATTTTACTGAATTCTTTTTGAACTGAATCTGAGCATCACGTTCTTTCATAACTCTACTGAGAAGAAGTCCTGACTACAAAAAAATTGCAGTATTTTAAGAAAACTGTGTATAAATATTTAGAAAAACTGTTAACTATGCATGTTAAATATACAAATATAGAATTAGAAGAGAAGCCAGATAGTACATGAAAGCTTTTCACTCTTTCTGTTTGGTAAAACTGGTACTGCTTTGCATTTTCAATGGCCTTCTTTCTTTCTCCTTGTTTGTATATTTCTTCTTCCAAATCAAGAATTTGTCTTTCTGCTTCAAGCTCTTCGTCACGCTTTTGCTTGGCTTTAAGTTTCTGTTCTTTCATTCCCTGTGAAAAGACACAATAATCAATCTCTCTCTCTCTCTCTCTCTCTCTCTCTCTCTCTCTCTCTCTCCCTCTCTCTCTCTCGTTGGGATCAAACCCAGGTGTTGTGATCACCCTAACCCAAAAGCAATCTTTCATTTTGATTTTTCAATTTAATTGACCCAAAAGTTATTATCAATATAAGATCATTTGAATTTCATTATGTATCTTTATTGTGTTTGCATAATTTATTAGTAAACATGAACTTACACTTTGAACTAACCCTTAAATTTATTTGTTCGTTTGCTTTATGTGCATGGGTGTTTTGTCTGAATGTATATCTGTGCATCACATGCTTGCTTGATACCCAAGAAGGTCAGAAGAGATGGTTGGGATGCCCTGGGATTATAGTTACAGAACACTGAACCTCCATGCCTGTGCTGGGACTCAAACCCAGGTGCTCTGGAAGAGTAGTCAATACTCTTGACTACTTGGTCAACTCTCCAGCCCTGAATTAATTTTTAATTTCATTTTTTAAGTGGGCAGCACATTTACATGATTCAAAATCCAAAACCATTAAAAGGATATATAATGAATCTCTACAATCCTAAGACTTCATTAAGATTAAAAACTTTTCTATTAACCAATCATGGTGGTGTATGCTGTTAACTCCAGCTACTCTGAAGGCAGAAGCCAGGCAGGAGGATACTTAAGACTGACTTTGAGGTCAACCTGGACAGTGTAAAGAAATCTCAAAAGGCAAATGAATCTTCTGTCTTTTAAAAGACAAGATAAGTAAATGATGATTCAAGATACACACTAAGAGGATACATTTTCAAATACATACATTTTCTTTGAGATGGTATCACGGAGCCCAGGCTAGCCTTAAGCTCACTGCATAGTCAAAGACGACCTTGAACTTTTCCTTCTCTTTGGCCATCTCCTAGTGCTGGGATTACAGGCATGGCCCACCATGCCTGGCTTTGAGTAGTGCTAGAGACTGAATCCAGGCTTTCATGTATGCTAAGCAAGCATTCTACCAGCTGCACTGCATTCCCAGCCCTGTTTTTGTTATTGTTTGTTTGGCTTTTGAGACAGGGTCTTGGTATGTTGACCAGGCTAGCCTTTAACTCAGGATGTAATCCAAGTTGACCTTGAATCTAAGGTCTTTTTGCCTTAGCTTCCTGAGTAGTTGGATTATAAGAATGCACCACCCCACGTATCTTCGAATATGTTTTTTTTAAAGTTCTCTAAAATTAATAATAATAAGAAAAACAAACCTAATCATAAAAATCTGAAGAGGTGGAAAACAAGTTCATCAAAAGATGTTTGGCCACTGGGCTGTGGTAGATACCTTTAATCCTAGCAATTGGGAGGTAGAGGCAGTCGGATCTCTGTGAGTTCAAGGCCTGCCTGGTCTACAGAGAGAGTTCCAGGACAGCCAGAGCTACATAAACTCTGCCTTAAAAAACAAAACAAAAAGAAAAGAAAATCACAAAGTTACATATACAGCAATCATATAATTTCACTATATATATCTATATCAAGACATTTACTCAAGAGAAATGGGAGCATATGTCCATAAACAGACTCATATATGAATGTTCACAGCAACTATATTTGTAATAGTCAACCAGATGCCAACATTTGGTTGATGCCATACCATCAAGTGATCAGATAAATAAACTGTACTGTATCAAACTCTAGAATACTACTTAGCAATACAAAGAGTGTTACTTAGATTCTGTTGAATAACTCTCAGATTCTGTTGAATAAAATCTATAATAATAAGTAGTAGATGAGTGGTGACAGTAATTTATAAAAAGGAGTGACAAGGAGTTAAAACAGGATGTGGAAACTTTTAGGTGATAAATATGTTCACTATGTTAACTGTAATGATGGTTCTGGAGGCATATACATTTTTGCCAAAATTTAACAAAATGTTTACCTTAATTGGGTCACTTATAGTATGTTAAAGATCTTGAAAGTGTGTGCCATTGTGTTTGACAGTTTGAATATAAAATTATTGATAAAAGGTACAAGACAGTACTAAGAAGTAACAGTCAGTGTTCAAAACACTTGAGTTCTGGAAGGTTGATACTTACTGCATATGTGTTAGTCCAGTGCTTTACCAACTCTTGTGATTGAACATGAATCTTTTTCTTTGCTGTTCTTTCTGCACGGAGGGCCGCCGCCTCTCTTGTCAACCTGTCAAGGCTATCCCGAATCCTTTCCCACTCAGCATGTGGAATTATGGTGACCTGGTTGAGATCTACCTTGCTAGGTAGCAGAGGTGGATAGGGAATTTCATCTCTTTCGGTGTTCTTCATTCCTAATGCATAAAAAAAAATATTAAATGCTTTCCCAGGAAGAATTCACATGATTTTTTTTTTCTCAGAAATGTCTGTAGTGGAGTAGATCTGGAAATTGCCTCAAATGTGTAAATTAAGAATGGCTTCAGACTCAAAAAAAAAAAAAAAGAATGAGAAAAAAAAAACAAGGCTTTATGAAATCAAGGGAAACTTAATCTTTGGTGATTTACTTCATGTGTAAACTTGGGCAAGACATGTAATGTTCTCACTGAACAGGTATTCATTCAGGTTCTCTGGGGTGGGGGCAGTGCAATTGTTACAAAGTTCAGGCAAAACATGAAGCTAGTTCAAATTTCCAAGAATCTACTGGTTACCATGACAACAATTAAACTGTTGTAGTTGGACTTGATGAAGATTTCTTTAGAAGTCCTACTTGCCCACATCTACAACAATATCAAATCGTATGTCACCTTAATTACTTTATGTACCATATTTTTTACAATATTAAAGCATTTGACTAGGGGTGAGTTTTAATTTTAGAGTGGAAAGAACTGAGATAATTCCTTGAGCTTCAGAAAAGACTACTCAACAGGTCTGCACCAGAATGGCGACTTAATACTTATAGATCAATAACATTTCCAAACGGCATTCCAAAATTTATTCAACAAATAACAAAGCTAGGAGCCCCCAGACTAGTGGGGCGGTGGTGTCGCACGCCTTTAATCCCAGCACTAGGGAGGCAGAGGCAGGGAGATCTCTCTGAGTTCGAGGCCAGCCTGGTCTACAAGGGCGAGCTCCAGGGCAGGCTTCAAAGCTACAAGGCAAAAAACAGACTCCTAAGTATCTGGCCAGCTGGGGCAGTTGGGGGGAAAGACGTCTAGCTTTCTGCTTTTTCTACCCCAAATCCCGTGCACTTTCTACTGTGCACCCCAGGGAGTTGTCTTCCTTATTCCACTCATTCACCTGAAGGCCAACCTGCCTAACTTCCAAGGATACTCGCTGGGGATGCTTTCGACCTGGCAAAGGCCCTTTGAAAGAGCAGCCGAAGCCCTCCCTCACTTGTCACCCTAGGCCGTGGTTCTAGAAACAATCCGAGCTCACCTGTGCTTTCCTTCGACTGTGCGGAGCGCCGTCCAAAGCGCGCCTGCATCTCTAACTAGCCGAGCCCCGCGAGACCAGACCGAGTGAGTAGACTACTCGCCACGCCAAGTTCAGCGCAGTATGGTTGCCAAACCGTTTGGTTGTTTAGCAACAACGCCGGAAGTGACATTGGTCGCCAAAGCGGAACCAGGAAGGAGCCCAGGCTGCGCCGGGAATTGGGGTGCGGGGAGTGCGCCTGTGCAGTGCAGAGCGGCGGGGTAGGCGCAGCGCTCGCGATCCGGCGTTTACGTCAGGCTCGAGGACCAACCGGCGGATGCTAGAACGGATGCTGGATGCCGGCTGCGACCCGGGCCTGGGTCAATGAGGATCCTGCCAGGCCGGTGTCTCCTTCTCCACACGCTCGGCTAGTGTGGAAGTCGAGGCCTAGGCTCGCTGCGAGCCCCCACACTGCTCCTCGCGGGCCGAGGTGAAGGACAGACCCCGCTTGACCACAGAACCCCAGGGATTAAGGGACATAAAAGCTGTTTTTAAATTATTTGGTTTGTGCGGCATGGCCAGGACTAGATGAGACCCTATTGATTGTTGTTATATAGGACTGTTAAAAGTTTGAATGTTGTCCCCAGGACATTCACGTTAAGACCTTTAATATATACCAAACTGCTTGGTAAATAAATTATAATTAGTGTGCTTGGGAGCCAGTCTCTAGTGACACCAGGGTACATTAAAGTGGACTGGTAACTGATCTCTAAAGAGGCTTTCTGTGAGTGTTACAGCTCAGATGGAAAAGTATTCTGGCACTCAGGAGCCAAGGAATACCACAGCTCACAGTAAACGTAGCAGCTTACAGCCTTGCTCTAGGGAAAGGCTTCCCCTATGTAACAACTCTGCTGGGCTAGGGAAAAATTTCCCAGCCTTGCTCCGCTCAGTTCTGCCCAGGCTCCTCTGGCAAAAGAAGATTGTCACCCAAACCTCATTCTTCCATTGGGATGGAAGAATCTAGGAGAGTGGCTGCCTCTAGCAAGGTGAAGGAAGACAGCAGCAAACTGAACAGGCAGTGGGCTTGTATAGGGCTCCTTTTGGGTGTAATTCTTCCAGGGTGGGATTGGTCAGATTTCAATCGCTTGAGCTCAGATTAGCTAGATCTCATGTTCAGGGATTGGTTGGTTTTCTGCTTAGTTTGTCAGGGGCAGATTTGGCTCTGGTTTCAGGGCCAAAGTGTGTTTCTTTCACTGGCCCTTTTCAGCCTTTTGGCTCTAATTTCAGGGCCAGGGCATATATCTTTCACTGACTCTGATTCTAGGGCCAGTGTGTGTTTCTTTGGCTCTGCTCAGGGTGTTTCTTTGGCTGGCCCTTTCCCCCTACACTTTCCTGGCACACCGATGTACAAATGGTTTCATTACTAAGTAGTTGGCACTATCAATTAATTAAGCAAGAACTGTTGTCCCTCACAATGACAACGAGTAAGATTTTCAGTAATGAAAGTTCTAACACGTAGTTGTGCTATTTCTCCTCAGGTTTTCTATCAGATGTTCCACTGTAATAATGCTGGTAAGTACAGAAGGATTAATAAAAATATCTGTAAACAGAACTTTGTGCACATACACTAGTGACTTGGAAGCATAGCTTAAAACATGACAGGAATTTAAAAAGCAACTTGCAAGTCGGGTGTTGGTGGCACACGCCCTTTAATCCCAGCACTCGGAGGCAGAGGCAGGCAGATCTCTGGGAGTTCGAGGTCAGCCTGGTCTCCAGAGCAAGTGCCAGGATAGGCTCCAAAGCTGCACAAAGAAACCCTGTCTCAAAAAACCAACAACAACAACAAAAACCCCAGCAACTTGCATAATTCTGTATGAGACCCACGATGCCTTGTGAGGGATCAGTGAATTACAGTGGTAGCTGTTTCAGCAGCAAATTTTGCCTTAATTTTTCTGAGCCCCTGTCCCCACAGAGTAATGAAGAGTTGGCAAGAAGTCACATGCATTTGTTCCGTTATAGGACAGGAACTCTGAGCTGAGGAAACTCAAATCACAAGGGACAACATCCATGTGTTTTAATGTTGTCCAGTGTAGAGGTATTCTTCAAGCAACATGTGAGAGTGGCAGGGTCCTAATGAGTGGTTTAATGGTTATTTTTACTTGTGATTTTGTTTTTAAAATGTCTACATATTAATTTAAATTGTTTCACAAGTAAAACTGAAAATAACCATTAAACCACTCAATGGGACCCTGCCACTGTCATATAAAATATTTTATGTTTATTATATTTAACTATGTATATGTTTGTACATGTGTTTGTGTGAGAGTATGTGCATGTGAATGAAGGTTCCTGAAGAGGCTAGAGCTGGAAGATCCTTCTGGAGCTGAAGTTACAGGGATGGTAAGCTACTCAGTCTTGGGTCTTCTACAAAGGTAGTGTGTGCTTTTAACCGCTGAGCCTCCTCTCAAACCCCTTATTTATTTATTTATTTGACTACTTATTTAGTCTGTGTGTATTCTGTGCAGTTCAGAGGCCAGCTGACAGGATTGAGAAAGAAAGAGACGAAAGACAGAAGACAGAATCGGGAGGGCTCTCAGTGAATACTACAGCAGCCTTGAATTTACTTCTCATAGCCCTTTTATACCCAAAGCAAAAGGGGAGGGGAAAAGATTTCTTTTCCATGGTTCAAGGAACAAACAAGCATAATCACCTCATTAATTCTCAAACCATGCCTTTGGCCAAACATCCTGATATTTAGCCTTGAGGAACAAGAACAAGCTTGAACTCTCTGACTTTAAGCCAAGATGGAATGGAATCATTGTAGGCTCCCACATTGCTCCATCAGACATGGGTTCTGAGAACTGAACTTGGTGCTCTGCTAGAGCAATATGCACTCTTAAACAGTGATCTCTCCAGTCCTGAGAAAGTTGGTTGAGGTTTCTCTGTGTACTAGCTCTGGTTGTCCTGGAACTTGCTTTGTAGACCAAGCTGGCCTCAAACTCACAGAGATCCACCTGCCCTCTGCCTCCCATTTGCTGTAATTAAAGGGGTGCACAACCACCACCCAGATTTGTTTTTGTTTTTTAATACAACATATTGGTGTGTGTTTGTGTGTAGTGAGTGCAGCAGTACTCTGTGGTCAGAGGACAGCATTTAAGAGTCTTCTCTTTCCACTGTGAGTTTCTCTCCATGAGTGGCTTGCAGGGGTCAAACTTGGCTTGCCAGGCTTGTTCAGCAACTGTTTTACTATATGAGTCATCTCACTGTTTTCTTCATATTGCGCATTGTAACCTAAACTGGACTCAAGCATGCAGCATTATGCCTGCCTTAGCTCCTGAGTGCTGGGATTATTGGTGTGAGCATTTATGCTTGGTCTGTTTTCCAAATATTAATAAAAGAATTTCCAGGTAACTTCACACTGTTAAAAGTTTATCTGTGCAGGTACCTAATTTTTGTAGATTTTAATTTTAAGTACATCACTGATATATTAAGAAATAAAAGGAGCTTGGGATAAACATATCCTTTATTAGAAAACCACCAGCCAAACACAAGCCAGAGCATGCCAAGGGCAGCAAGGCAGGCAGGCCAGAGAGAAGGCACTCCCATATGCTTTGCCGCCCCTTAAAACCCTATCACGAGTCATGCTGACCTCACCTTGACCATGCCCTGACAGGCATGGTCAGGCACACCTGTAGCCAGCTTCTAGTTTACACTGTCCCCTACACTGATATATGTATATTTATTGATAATAAAATGTGTTTCCCTTTTAACAAGAAAAACTGAAATGGTGAAATACAATTGACTTAACATTTGTGATGTTATTAACTAGATAAAATATTTCCATATGACATTCTTTTTTATATTTATTTCAAGTATGTATTTATAATCAAATTTTGTTTCTACATTGCCAGTACATGTTTTCTTGATAGGAGGTAAAGGGAGCCAACTAGAAAACATACATTTTAAGCTTTTTAAATACCTTATTAATTTTAGGAGTTAAGAAGTTTCCATACCTATGCTGCACATCAGAGAAATCTCTCTGCATACAGAAATGGAGTAATGTTTAAAGACAGCTGGCAAATTAAAGATTTTAGTGACCTAAGCTCTATGCTGAAATAAAATTAATTGGACTGCAAGTGCCACTTTGGGTAAGTCATTTTAATAAAATAATATATTAAAAAGATAGAAAATCTAAAATTGGGGAAAATACTCTTAGATCAACCTTAAATGTGTGTTTATTTCACTCTTGTGCTTTTTTAAGAGTTAAAAGAGCAGTGGTAGAACCCTTTAATTCCAGAACTCTGGAGGCAGAGGCAGGTGGAGGCCAGCTTGCTCTACCAGGACAGCCAGGGCTACAGAGAGAAACACTGTCTTGAAAAACAAAAACAAAAATTACCAAATTAGTATTATTTTAAAGTAATAAATTGATGTGGTGGCATGTGCCTTTAATCACAGTACTTAATTGAGAGATAGAGTCAGGTGTATCACTGTGAGTTCCAAGTTGAACTTTTATATACAAAGTTGTAGGTAAGTCAAGGCTACATGGTAAGATCCTGTTTTATGTGGTTTTGTGTTTTTATACAGGGTCTCTCTTCATAGTTCTGCCTGTCCAAAAAGTGCCTATGTAAACCAGTCTGTCCTCGAATTTACAAAGATCCTCCTGCCTCTGTCCCCCAAGTGCTGAGACTAAAGACATTGCCACCACACCAAGTGTTGAATGTTATACTTAAAAACATGAAATTGGAGCCAAGCTGACCTGAGACCACAATTCCATCTCTAATATCAACTGCTTTGTTAGTTGGATTATATATCTTTAAGATGAGAGTGACAACAATTACAGTTCATAGGTTATTAAAATTAGATGAAGGGCTGGAGAGATGGCTCAGAGGTTAAGAGCCCTGGCTGCTCTTCCAGAGGTCCTGAGTTCAATTCCCAGCAACGACATGGTGGCTCAAAGCTGTCCGTTATGAGATCTGGTGCCCTCTTCTGGTGTGCAGATATACATGGAAGCAGAATGTTGTATACATAATAAATAGATAAAAATCTTTAAAATAAATAAAATTAGATGAAATGTTTGAGTGATCTTTCAAAAATATATGTTCTTTTGTTTACAAATGACATTTTTTTCTTTTTCTTAGAATTCTATATGATTACTATTTTTTTATTTTATTATGTATGCAACATTCTGCTTCCAGGTATATCTGCACATCAGGAGAGGGCACCAGATCGCATAATGGATGCTTGTGAGCCACCATGTGGTTGCTAGGAATTGAACTCAGGACCTCTGTAAAAGCAATCGGTGCTCTTAATCTCTGAGCCATCTATCTCTCCAGCCCCATGATTACTATTTTTTAATGTAATGGTTTTCACCCATATTAACTGTGGCCAACTTAATGTTTCCATTTCTCTTGGAGATTTTTTTTTTATTATGTATACAGTGTTCTGCCTCCAGGTATGCCTACACTCCAGAGGAGGGCACCATATCTCATTATAGATGGCTATGATCCACCATGTGGTTGTTGGGAATCGAATTCAGGACCTCTGGAAGCTCTTAATTTCTGAGCCATCTCTCCAGCCCTTCTTTATGAAGTTACATGACTTAAATTTGTTCAAAACTTAGTATACAGAATATAATATATTATGGTCTGTTATTTGATACAAGGATCATTATAAATATTATAAGCTAATAAAGTAAGTGTAGTAGTTATCTTAGAAAAAATAAGTGGTGGTCCTAAAAAAAAAAAAAAAAAAAGCTTAATCGGGGACTGGAGAGAGATGGCTCATTGGGTAAGAGCACCTACTGCTCTTCCATAGGACCAGGTTCAATTCCCAGTACCACATGGCAAGCTCATCACCAGTAACCCCAGTTCTAGGGGATCCAGTGATCTCGTCTGACCTCCTTGCGTATGAGACACAATGTGGTACGCGTAACATGTAAGCAAAATACTCACATGCGGGAAAATTTTTAAATTTTTCTTTAGTGCATAATAAGGGCTGAGTATGGTGGTACATACCTTTAATTCCAGCAATTGGGAGGCAGAAGCAAGTGGATTATTCTTAGTACCAGGACAGTGTGGCCTACATAACCAGTTTCAAACCAGACAGGTGAATAATAAGACCTCATCTCAAACAAAAACCTTACTCACTAACTTATACTCCTTGCTTTAGCATGTTAACTAGTTTATTTATTCATTTTTTAGAAAGTTCTCATTATCAGCCTCAACCTCTTGCTTCTTCTTCCCCAGCCTCCTAAGTGCTAAGATGACACAGCATGTACCACCACACCTAGCTCTTAGCCAGTTAACATTTACTTTTGATCTTAAGTGTAATAGATATGTAAACACAGTATGTTTAGGGAATAATAATTCTTCTTTTTCAGGGTAACCCAAATCTATTTCTGGAACCATGAAAGTTTTGTTGGTATTTGACTTCGACAATACAATCATAGATGACAATAGTGACACCTGGATTGTACAATGTGCTCCAAACAAAGAGCTTCCTATGGAACTACAAGATTCTTATCAAAAGGGATTTTGGACAGAATTTATGGGCAGAGTCTTTAAGTATTTGGGAGATGAAGGGGTAAAAGAAGATGAGATGAGAAGAGCAGTGACATCAATGCCTTTCACTTCGGGGATGATAGAGCTTCTCAACTTTCTAAGAATGAATAAGGATAAATTTGATTGCATCATTATTTCAGATTCAAATTCAGTCTTCATAGATTGGGTTTTAGAAGCTGCTGATTTTCATGATGTCTTTGATAATGTGTTTACAAATCCAGCAGCTTTTGATAACAATGGTCTTCTCACAGTGAAAAATTGCCATGCTCATTCTTGCAATAGTTGCCCAAAGAATCTTTGCAAAAGTGCAGTTTTGCTAGATTTTGTAGATAAACAGTTACAAAAGGGAGTGAGATATGCACGGATTGTTTATATAGGCGATGGTGGAAATGATGTCTGTCCAGTAACCTTTTTAAGGAAGAATGATGTTGCCATGCCTCGCAAAGGATATACTTTACATAGAACTCTTGCCAAAATGTCTCAAAATTTTGAGCCTATGGAATCTTCTGTTGTAGTTTGGTCTTCAGGTGTTGAAATAATTTCTCATTTACGATTTCTAATAAAGGAGTAATGTGCCAACAATTGAAATGTGTATTAAGATTGGGCTCAATAGCATAAAACAAAATCCCTGATATTTAGTACCTATAAAAATGAGAGGGGGTTTCCTCTTTAAAGTATTCTGGTAATATTTTAAGGCCACTTTGTTGCCCAGTTAACCTCAGCTTTTGATTCCAACCCATGATTCGTGGTTGATGGCCAAACTCAAACTTCACAACAAACATTCTGACCAGCAAGAACAGGGCAGTGGGGCTGTAACCCTTTGTTTAAGGATAGTTTCCAATTTACCAAACAGTTCTATTCAAATACCATTAGCCAAAGCCTATTCAGTACCTTCCCTAACTGCAAAACATAGCAGGTGGCTGTGTGCCTGGGTAAAGGCCGAAAAACAATACATAACTGAGGTAGGTGTAACTCATGGACTGTATACTAAGGATTGTTAATGAATTGCATTTTTAAAACTTATTCTTGGGGGCTGGAGAGATGGCTCAGAGGTTAAAAGCCCCGGCTGCTCTTCCAGAGGTCCTGAGTTCAATTCCCAGCAACCACATGGTGGCTCACAACCATCTGTTATGAGATCAGGTCCCCTCTTCTGGTGTGCAGATATACATGGAAGCAGAATGTTGTATACATAATAAATAAAATCTTAAAAAAGAACTTATTCTTGGAAAAAGGTGGCCTTATTTTACTTATTTCAAATATATATCCAGTAGTTAGAAATGTTGAAAATAACTTGATATGCTCTTCCTCTGTTGTCAGCAAGTCATATAGATTAGTGTGCTCAAGATTGAGCTTTACCATAACCCACTGCTGAGGAAGGCATTGTTGCTGGAGGTGTAATGGATGCTCATACTGCCTTACAAGAGGTGCTGCAGACTGCCCTCATCCAAGGTGGCCCAGCATGGAAATCATGCAAAGCTGCCAAAGCCTTAGGCAAGTGCATGCTTGAACCCGATTGTGGTGAGCCAATATGGGTAAAGTAGGTGGAGGAGCTTTGTCCTGAGCATGCAGATCAACCTAATTAAGGTTGATGATAAGAAACTAGGATTATTTTTAGGCATCTGTAAAAGCAAGGGAGGAATCCACATAAACTGCTTGGTTGCAGTGTGTTAAAAGATGCCATGGAAGAATACTTGAAATGCAAGAAATATTGACTTATTTTCTCAAAAAGAAAAAAAACCTGATGCTTTATCCACATAAGGTGTAAGGCTGTCAAATGTCTATAACATCTTCTGAAATCTGGTTTTAAAATAATGGTGCAGTACTTTAGGTTTTATTTAATCATGTGGGTTGAGGTATGCCATAGTGCGTGTGTTGGAGGTTAGAAGACAGCTTATGGAGTTGGTTCTTATTCTACCATATGGGTTTCAGGGGTTAAACTCAGGGTCATCAACCTTGGTGTCCTTAACTGCTGAGCCATCTAACTGGCCCATAATGTACTATTTCTTTTTTTTTAAGATTTATGTATATGAGTGTTCTATCAACTTTCTGCCAGAAGAGGGCATCAGATCCCACTATAGATGGTTGTGAGCAACCATGTAGTTGAAGGGAACTGAACTCAGGACCTCGGGAAGAGCAGCCAGTGCTCTTAGCCACTGAGCCATCTCTCCATCTGCAATGTAGTATTTCTTGTGTTTTCGTCAATCAGGATTTCCTTTTGGAATGAAATACATACTAATTTTCTTCACATGTTTTATGTTTGTATCATAGATAATTACTTTGATATGCTGTTATTTTTGTTGTTGTTACAAGACAGGGTCTTGTTGTGTAACCCAGACAGACCTCAGGCTCTCGATCCTGCCTGCTTGCATCCAAAGATGTGCACCACCATGCCTGGTTTCAACTTGCCAGTTTAAATAGTGTGCTATTTATATTTGGCAATTCAGTTATGAAAAATATGAACTTGTATAATTACTTAACAGTTAAGATTCTTTGATATAGGAAATACCTGCTGATCAGTACTTTTATAAATGTGTGCTAATCCACAGATTCATAATTAGTCATAAATACTAAGTAAATATATGTTTTTGTTTCTTTTATGTTTTGGTTTGTGTTGGGGTTTTTGTGTTCTGACTTTTTTTTTCTTGGTTTCTTCAGTTTTTTGTTTTTGTTTTTTGGTTTTTTTTTTAGACAGGGTCTTACTGTAGATAGTCATGACTGGCCTAGAACCTGGTATGTAGACCACACAATGGCCTTGAACCCACAACAATTTGACTACTTTGCCTCAAGTTCTGAGATTATAGGCATGCATCACCACACCTGGCATAATACAGTTTCCTTAATCTCCAAAATTAGAAATATTCAGTATAATGTATTGGGAAAAATTGTACTCTGGTTTCCCCCCCAAAAAAATACAAAGTAAAATTTTAATAGATTGGATTATGTTGAAACACATTTTTGCTTTGTTTTATTTTTTCAAGACAGGGTTTCTCAAGGTAACTGTCCCAGTTGTCCTGAAACTCACTTTATAGAAATCAGGCTGCCCTCAAACTCACAGGAATCTGCCTACCGAGTGCTGGGATTAAAGTGTGCACCACCACCGCCTGGCCACATTTCTTATAAATTATCACTTGTCTTTGTTGAGGCCAATAACAAATTATAGAACAAAAATTAAAATATAATAGTTTCGCTTGCAATAATAGTTCACCAAGTAGTTTTGAGAGATCCAGGCCCCAGAAAACCCCTGGTTCACGGCCCCTACATGGACCCTGAACAGTGAAAGAAACACACCCTGGATTTGGGACCTGAGCCAGAGAAAGAGACACTTTATCCCCAACCCTAGAGCCAGGGTAAAACACCCTAACTCTGAAACTAGCGCCAAAAGAACACGTTTGACCCCTAGATTTGGGACAAGTAAAAGAAATTCACCTAGGCCCTAGAGTTGAGCCAAAAAGCCAAAAGGAACCACAGAGAGAAACACAATTTGGTCCTGGAATAGGCGCCACCTCTGCCGCTGACTAAAAAGTAGCCAATCACTGGGCTAGAAAAACTGACCAATCCCAGGCCATCAGGCTTGGAATTCCCATGGTTTTGGAATCTCAGGCTGGGGATTACCCTAGGCTGGGAATTCCCACCACTTCATGAGGGCAGCCAATCACCAGAGGGTTTGGAATGCCCCTAGACATTGGGCAGCCAATCAGCTCGGTCCTGGCTTAAGCCAATCCCAATGCTGTAACTATGCAGTTCTTTGGAGTGCTTGAGCCAATCCCAAGCCTGTTGCTAGGCAAGTTTGGAGTTCCCCAAGCACCTCCTGTCTGACTGCTGTATAAACCCCCTTTCCCTAGCGGTTCTGGGTTTTTCCTGTCCCTGGTGCTACAGCTGCCGCTTTGGATACATGGAAGGACCCTAGTTAACTCCCAAATAAAGACTGTTTTTGCGTCAGAGTAGGTCTTGTGTCAGATTTCGGACTTAACAGATTAGTAGAATATTTTAAAGGTGTGTGACTTTTGTTTATGCTGCATTTGTTTAACTCTGTGAAGCTGTGATTCTTTGTCTAAGACACCTGATGGTCTAATAAAGAGCTGAACAGCCGGCCAGTAGCGAAGCAGGAGTGAGGATAGGCAGAGCTGGCAGGCAGAGAGTCTAAATAAAAGAAACAAGGAAGAGGGGAGCAAGGAGAGAGCAAGGAGAGAACAGCAGGGGCCAGTAACCCAGCAGCCAGCCACCGACGAGTGAGAGTAAGATACACAGAAGAAAAGGCAAAGGGTAGATGGGATAATTAGTTAAGAAAAGTGGGCATTCCTGATTAAGAATAAGCCTCTGTATGTGAGTTATTTGGGAGCTGGGTGGTTGTCACCTCACAAAGCAAAAAGAACAAAAACATGACATAACAGTTCAGACCATATCCTTTCCTGAGAATGTCTAGAAAAGCTGACAGCTGAATAAAATAGTAAAATATCTGCTCAACTACATCAGAGAACTGACAATGAGGAATTTCTAAGGGAATGCAGAAATGTAGATAGGAGGCCTGTTTATGTGTTGGCCAATCGTAAATTGTGTTACTTGCTATGTCTGCAACCTCGTGGGAAGAGAAGAGATGGTGGGGTACGGTGCTTGTGCTGGTAAGGTGATGCCAGCAACCATGTGATTTTGGAAGTGGACCCTATCCCACTAGAGCCTCACCTGAGACAAACTAAATACTATATCAACCTTAGACCATGAAACAGTGGTCCCAGCCAAGCAGAACCTGTGAGATAGCTAGGTTTTGCTAAAATACTAACTTCGATGGAATGTTGTTATACAGTAATAATATATTAGGTCTGGAATCTAAGAAGTTTTGCAGATATGTTGTAGATCACACAATAAAATAGCCACACAAAGAGACTTGAGTGAAAAACAAGATTCCATTTAAGCATATTTGTAGGACCTAAAGATATTGGGGTTTTCAGAGACAAAATTCTGAGGATTTAGGCAAAGCATTGAAAATATTTTAAAGGAGGCTGGGAGACATGGTGAAATGGCTCATCAGGTAAAGGGCCGAAGCACCACACTGATGATCTAAGTTCACTCTCCAGGATCAACATGGTAGAAAGAGAGGACCAAGTCTACATTGTCCTCTGAATTCCACATGTACCAAGTCATGTATATGTGTCCACATGCATGTGCACACACATTTTTAAAATCATATTAAAAACAAATGGGAAGTCTAGCAAGGTGTGACATATACCTGAATTCTAATACTTGGTATGCTCTGGCAGGGAAATAAGTTTGAGACCAGTTTAGTTGCATTATTGCATTGTTTGGTTCAAGCAAGACTTAGCTACATAGTAAGATGAGGTTTCAACAAAAGCAAAAAAATAAAATAAAAGTGGAAATACTAGAACTTAAAATGACCCTGCACCCAAATTAGTTATCTGTTCTTTTTAATTTTTTTTCTTTTAGATAGAGTCTCGCTCTCCCTTTCTAGAAGGAAGTTGTACTCAAAAATCAAAGTTTTCAGCATCCCAAGTGCTGGGCTTACAGGTATGTCCACCTTGAAATTAAGATCTTACAGCAGAGTAAGCATAGCTGGAATGAGAGCTTTT